TCATCTCACAACAGAAATATGTGATGGATCTTCTGAAGGAAATGGGAACCTCGCATATAAACCTGCAAATACCTCTATAGATCCTAATCATAAAATTGGAGAAGCTAATGAAGATGCTACTGTAGATAAAGAGATGTACCAAAGATTAGTTAGAAAACTCATTTATTTTTCACATACCAGACTTGATATAACATATGCTGTGAGTGTGGTAAGTCCAATTTATGCACAATCCTAAAGAAGTGTATCTATGGGCTGTCTACCATATATTGCACTATTTGAAGGCCAATCTTGGAAGTGGTATCTTATTCAAAAGAAATTCGGGGCTAGTTCTAGAAGCATATACAGATGCTGATTATGCAGATTCAGTAACTGATAGAAGATCCACCTTAGGCTACTGCATTTTTTTAGGTGGTAATCTTGTGACTTGGAGGAGTAAAAAACAAAATGTGGTGGCAAGATCAAGCGTCGAAGCAGAGTTTAGAGCAATGGCTCAAGGAATTTATGAACTACTATAGTTAAAGATTATCCTAGAAGACTTGAAGATCAAGTGGGATGGACCAATGAGACTTTATTGTGATAACAAGTCTGTAATAAGTATTGCACACAATCTTGTGCAACATGACAGAACAAAACACATTAAAGTAAATCGGCATTTCATAAAGGAGAAACTAGATAGTGGGTTGATTTGTACATCTTATGTATCAGCCAAGGGTCAACTTGCAAATGTGTTGACTAAAGGTCTCAACAGTGCAACATTTCAAGAAATTATTTTCAAGCTGGGAATGGAAAACACCTATTCACTAGCTTGAGGGGGAATGTGGAAAAACACTTATTTATAGCTGGTTGTAATCTTGTAATCTGGATATTTATATTCGTATCTCTAGAATTAAGTATTTGTATCCATAAAATTAAGGATAAAAAATTAGGATAAATAATCACTCAATTATAGGATCAATTTTTAGGAAGATTTAGTTTCCTAGTTTAATCCCTAGTTAGTTGTATATAAACCTAAGGTTCTTGTATAATTCTTAATGAGCAGTTTTTCAATATACATTCAGTTTTTTCTCTTAGTTTCTATATAGTTTTTATTTCTTAGTTTTTCCACACCAATGATATCCACTAAACAGGTAAAGTAATCAATAGTACTGGAGCAAATTCAGATATATTCAAAACATTTATGTCTAGCAGATAAGCTATTAATGTTGCTTGCAACATATATAAGAATGGAAAATTGGCAATGGAATTCCTTAATATTTTTTCAAGTCCTTATAAAAATTCCTCGGTTTGATCTTCATATGACTTCAATGAACCTAATTAACTTGCACTACTGCGATGAAATCTATATCAATGAACTCAGTTACTGACTTTCATTGGCTTGTACATAATTGTCAATATTGTTAGATTTTGGTTCATATTTTAACATATTTTTACTGTATATTTGGCAAGATTTCAGGGAACAGCTCGATTGATGTCCAATTCATTTGGGTCTTCATTATGGATGATGCCATTTTCAAAGTATTGTAGGGCAGACGGCATGTATTTGAAGCATTTTTCTGGGGGAATCAGGAAGAGGCATCATACCTATCAATGTGAGCAAGAGGAATTTCAGTCAAACTACTCTGGATGGCCAACAAATATAATCAACATTGAAATTCCTTCAATCCGTGGTAAGGCTTTGGAATCAGTTGTTTATTTATTAATTTATTTCAGTGACATTTAGGTAATTGCTATAATGCTCACATCAGTGTCTTCTGTTAACAGGGTTTGATTCCTATCCATTGGTTTCAGATTGTGCCCAGACCAACTTGTCCGGCATGGAATGTGGACTCCCAACACAGTTGTCATTTTCAGCTCGTGAAATATCAGATGGGACCTTTTTCAAAGCTATAGAGGATTATGATTCAGATAGTAAGAGGATCTTGCACCAACTGAAAAAGTGGGCATTCCAAAAACTTTATGCCATTTGAGAAAGTTGTGGTTACCTTTTTTGGGTCATTAAATGAGATATCTATATCTGAGTCACTATTAGGTGATATAAACATAATTGATTCTAAGAATGATGTTTGCCAATTTTATTATCAGTGGTGCACGTTCATAATAGAAGCCTTGCGACTACAGTTTTGGAGCCTTAATCTTCTCTCAGCATAAATTTGCTTAAATGGTATCTAAAGTATCATGCATGTGGTCCTATGTTGCAGGTGCAAGTTCTGATATATGATGTGGTTTTTCATCCAAAATCTTGTTGTTGAGAGTCTTGAGCAGCATTCTACTTCATAAAATTATGTGGAGCTGCAGAAAAAGGTGTTAGGCATGGAACTATCACATGCTTAGGTTTTTCATAACATGCAACTAAAGTTTTATTTGACCAATTCATGTACATTGAAGACTAATGTCATAGACACTTTTAAAATATTTTTCACAATCTATGATAGTTTTAAATTTTTACAAGCTATGATACTTTCAAATTCTTTTAACAATCTATGATAGTTTCTTAATGCTGGCCGATTCTTGACAAACTAATACTTTTATGTCTTTGATTATCGGGGGTCATGAGTCAAATTCTACATAAAATTATGTGGAGATGCAACAAGAGTGGTTTTGCTTGGAACTATCACATAAAGTAGGCTTCTAAATTGTCATAATTTATAAATGTTAAATGGGCATTTACCCAATTTGCCATTCACCTAAATGTTTGCACTGAAGACCAGTCACAGATGCTTTCTGTATGTTTTCTTTCATAATCTTTGATTGTTTCTCATTGTTGGCTGATACTTGACAAACTGAAAATTCTATTTTTGGTTGTTGCTTATCATAGTACTTTCATCTATTTCTTTGAATAATTATTTTCCAAAAAGTTTAATTAATATGGATCATGTAATATATACTTCTATATTTGACCACTCTGTGTTTCAATGGTGTATTTTTCAGGTCATATCATGATGATCCTGTTCTGAATCCTCTTACACCATGGGACAGACCACCTATTAAGAATGTTTTCTGTATCTATGGAATAGATTCAAGGACTGAGGTATAGTTACATTTTGAATATAAATATAATATATTGTTCATGTTTGAACCCATTGCCATGCATTGAGAATCCCTTAAATGCTGTTTGGATGATGATTTTGAGAAAAGGGGAAAATGGCAGTAAGTGTTAAATATCATGGTTGCATTTTTATTACTTATTGTGCTTAATTTATGACTATATTGTGTTGCACGATAATGCTAGCAGGTTGGTTATTATTTTGCACCAAGTGGCAAACCTTACCCTGATAATTGGATAATTACAGATGTCATCTATGAAATTGAAGGATCACTTATCTTGCGGTACGCATCATCCATATTAATGAATTTAACAGCATGGATGCATAAATTATAAAGAAACGACTTCTCTTTCCTTGATATTTAATATTCCAATAATTGTTATTTCTTGCAAATGAGGTAAAGCAGTGCCGGTAGTAATAATTATGGGAAAACTGATTTGATCTTTTTAGATTTACCTTTTAAATAGCATTGCACTTGTTCTTGTAGATCAGGGAATCAGATTGAAGGGAATCCAGGAGCTGCAAGTGGAGATGAGACAGTGAGCTCAGTAATCATTACATTGTTCTATTTCAATCTTCACATGCATCAAGAATTTGTGCTAGTAGATTACAGTTGGTGATATGTTTTATAGTTGCAGGTCTAACACTTACATATAAGTAACATATCGATAATCGTGACAGGTACCATATCATTCCCTCTCTTGGTGCAAGAACTGGCTTGGGCCCAGAGTGAACATAACAAGAGCTCCACAGGTATTCTTGGTCAATGTAGTAAATCTTGCATCTACAAGCACCGGCATATGTTTATTTTTATGATAATTTTTGAAAACTTTTTAATCTTTCGGATATCTAATGCATCATACATATCTGATTGCTAGTTTTTTGTGGTTAGTTTGATGAGCTATCTGAGCGGAGTTGTATAGCATATTTTGTTGCATGCTTCTGTCTGTCCATTTATATAACTGAGTAGTTCATTCGTGCAGTAATAGGTAAAACTTATGAAGCGCTAACCATCTGATATTGCTAGGGCCTAGGGTACACTTGCTATGGTTTTATTGTTCTATATCCAAAATGTGAGTATTTTATGAGAGTTTGGAATATTAACCTTTCTCCTGGATATTGCAGTCAGAGCATGATGGGTCTGATGTACAAGTGGAGTTGAATGTTGAGCATCATTATGAAGAAGATATAGTTCCCAATATGACAAGGTCACCTAGAGTAAAATATATAACCTATTATGAAGACTCTGAAAGCATTCCAGGAAAGAGGACAGCTGTTTGGGAGCTTGATAAAGGTGGGTGACATGACCTTGAATGCTTTTCTCAATATATGGCTTTCACAGAACTATGATGCCAAACTATGTTGAACTTAATTGCCCTGGCTAATTGAGTATCTTAAATATCCCAACTTTATGGTTCTCATGGTTCTATGCTGATATCCAATTAGAGATCTTATAATAAGTGGTTCTCACTGGTTTTTGATAAATTTCTGTCAACTGATTTACTTACAGCACAATCTATAAAAATCAGAGGTATTGTAGTTGGGGAGCACCTCTTCTAGATTCTTGCTAAAAGACCATCAAATAAATATTCAAAACCATTTAATTAAAAAGCTTGTCATCCATTCATGGGCCATGGCTGGCTACTTTGCTTGTTTGCTTTGTATTTCCTGTTTTCCTACATCGAGGAGAGTCATTTAGACCATTTTATGTTATGCTGTGTAGTTAAGTTGCTATTTCAACTTTTCTGTAATTTCTTTTACAAGAAAATTGAGTTAACATGTTAAGTCACATTCCTTGACTTTCAACTTGTTATCACTACAAGTGGATTAAACTGATGTCATCTTCATGTAGCAAATCACAGGAACATAGTTAGATCACCAGCTTTAATGCGAGAGTTATGGCTCCAGATTTGGCATGATATTCATGTTGATGCTACATCCAATTTTGTTACAAAAGGTGAAACTTGGTGTACTCTTTTACTTCTTTTCTAACAGGTTAATTGAGTTCTGCTCACTTATCATAATGCTGATAGCTAAGCGTGGGCCTTTGAGGGATGAGGACTGCTACTGGGATTATGGAAAAGCTCGGTGTGCATGGGCTGAGTATTGCGAATACAGGTTGCATATCTATATCTATACATAATATTAATATCATCCCTGGAGAGGGCTTGCTGCCATGTGGCAGTCATGAACAGTTTTTTATTATTACTTAATTTTCTTTTCTTTTTATTTTAAGTTACATGAATCAAACTTTTCATGAATTTAGCCATTCATGAATTTCCATGAACCCAATTAATTGCGAATGAATGTTTAGTGTCATATAAGTTCAATATTTTGAGTCTAGATTCATATCTATTGAATAGTATAAATACTCATGAATCAAATCCAGATTGTTTCTGTCAATATATGCTCCTTTGGTGTATTCATCATAAATGATAATCATGATTGTGCTTTCTATATATTTAAAAGTTCTATTTTAGTTTGATTTTTTTTATGTTTTAATACTTTGTAAAATTTTAAGTTGTTGGTTTTAAATCATTAAAAATTAAGTTTTTATTTTTAGTTTATGCATCAAGAGTTCAAATTGAATGAATTTGTTGACTTTAGGTATCACTGGGTATTCATTTCTTACAAGTGTTTTGGGAAAATATGTATTATTTATTCATACTGATAACAATGTTTTTGTACATTTTTATTCAGTATCTGCTCTAAAATAACTTTTACCTAGTAAAAATAAGCCTAAGCGAAGTGTCACAATCTAGTTTTATTTTATTTCTGTTTCCGTCCCCGCTTCCCAAGTTATATTTTAGTTTTTATTACCTGATGTATGGTTATGTAGGTATATCTTTGGTGATGTTCATCTGGGACAGAGCTGTAGGTTAAAGAATTCTTCTGCTGATACACTCCTGCATTATTTATAGATTAGAAGGTACTTAACCTCATGTTTCTTCCCCATCTAACTAAAATTTAAATTATCTTCTGGCCTTGATGATGATTATTTCTTCAGTCCTTCATGCTAAAATATTTAGCAATTTGAGAAACGGTTTATCTATATATTATACTAATTTTGTTGCTCCAGGTGTTTAAGAGTAGCTCCATAAGCTTTCTCTACTTGAGACATTCTTGTCAAAAGATCCTGTGCGAGGACCTCTGTCATTCTTTTTGTATATCATTCACAGTTATTGGATCCGTCTTCGGATTACAGGCCAAAACGTTGATACAACCTATTTCTAGCCAATTCTTTGCTGGTGACATGAAGGCTGAAACCGGTTGATGATGCACACTATTATTTTCATTCCTGTTTACTAACGTCACTGTGGCCTAGAACTCTAGATTTAGATTCTAAAAGAAGAGAAGAATTCTTACAGTCCTCAGTTCTAAAATTTGCAAAGAAGACCTTAGAATCTTTTAAGTCTTTGAGTTCTATGCGAATTTGATTCAATTTTGTGCTGTATTTGTTTAATTATGTTATTTTTGTTAATTGATTATTTTAAATATAATAATCGATTATGATTATAACTAGTCTTGTACTTGTAATTTCATTAAAAAAAATTATTTATGTACAAGAGCAGAAGGAAGAGCAATTTTTAAGGCAGAAACTCTTCCCATTTCCAAACCTCACCTTTGTTTTACCATTACGTTTATGGCTTTTACGCTTCACTAGTTCAAGTTTTAGCAGTGTAATGACCAAAATATGTCGGTTTTGTTCCTTTTAGCATATTTGTTAGCAGGGAGAGGTGCCCTCTTTTTTATACTTAACTAGTTCAAGTTATGTGCAGTCTGTTCCTAACCAACTTCACCATCACTATATTCTCCACACCAGCCATCAGCAGGTTTATCCGAACAAATGACCGCTGGCATTGCGATTTTCAGTTTCATTGATCTTACCAAGTCATGGTAAGAAGAGGCATACAAAGGTGATTGCTAGGAGTGCCGAGTATTTTAGTTGAACTGCAAAGAGGCATGCGAGGAACACAAAAACAATAAAAGTTTTTTTGACTCTACCTGCAAAGATGGTCCAAATGATAACTTCCACAAACACGTATGAAGTTCACAAGACAGAAAAAGAATGGGGAGAACGCATGAAACAAAACTCCTTGAAAACTTGGCTAGCTGTTCTTTTTTATCTCGAAGGAGTATTTAAGTTCCATGTGACACCTTCTGTCATCATCTTCAAACTGCATGGAAGCTTAAAATGAGGTACAATAGCAAAAAGCATGAAAAGAAAAATGCAATACTACACTGTCAACTGCTTTATTCAAATACTAATTAATTGATACTTCACAGAAAAAAAGGATGGTTATGCATGTAATATTAGCTTGGAGTAACATAATTTATTTAGCCTATGTTAGGTTCAAGAAATTGTGTCACGAAACTATGCGTGAAGTTATGTAAGTATCAATAACAACAAAAGGAAGGATTCAAGCAAGGACAATCCAGGAACTGGGAAGGAATGGTGTTTACGGACAAGGGAGTTGGATTTAAATAACTAAACAAGGGAAAACCCAAACATTGAACCTTGTTAATTCTTCCCATATCGATCATAATCCAGCTCAAAAATGGTAAGTCAAATTTGTCACGATGTACTTTTCAGTTTATTGCCAATCTAGATTTTAAATAAACTCACATTCTCTTCTAATCGAGAGGATAAACTATCCATGTTATACATAATTCAACTTTAATAAAGGTAACTGTCAATCAATATGACAAAAAACATGTCAAGATTCAATAATTGAAATCTGTTGATAAACATCGTATTCTTGCTTTATATGTTCAGTTAGGCATTAAATTTCAGGGCACATGCAAGAACACATACCTTAAGATTTGCAGAGTAAATTCCCCTTGCCAGCACTCCAGATGGTGTAGTCTCTTCATCCAAAAGGTGCACGTATGGTTCTCGCTGAGGAGCAAAAGTACCCAGCATTCCTTTATTTTGATCAACTGACAAGAAAACAATAAATTAAAATAAAAAACCCTCACTCAAAAACAACAATTATTATGAAATATATGAGAACATGATTTTCATGAGAAGCCACAGGCTAATAATCAAGATAATACAAGATAACAAATAAGTAAATGTGTAATAGCTATTTAAGCACTATCACATTAAAGCTTCACCAACTGGACCTACGGTGGAAAGCACAATCAGAAGAGCCTATGACTGCTAGTAAGTCTATCAAGAGCTTTGAATTCTTGATTGTACACTAATCCAAACTCCCCTATCAAATTTATGCCACGCCGACAGCTGGTTTATATGATGCCAGCAGCAGTTACCATGTTAGGAACATAATTAATGCACCTTAAATGGAAACAGAAAAGAGAAGATTCCTCACCTTGAAGTCTCGCCTTCCACACTGTGTTGGAGTAGGTTAAGCCAGAAACAATATTATGCAGAACACTGAATGTCAACTTAAGCTGATATCGAGATCCCTCCTTGAGAGTAAACAGGACAAGACCATTCCGATTCCTATCAATGGGCAAGGGATAATTGACTTCCCCAAGGTCATTAGAGATAATTCCTATGGAGTGGAATTTGACTTCAGGTTCCATTTGGCCTAGCAAATCAGATAATAAAAAACATTAACATGAAATTAATTTGAAAAAAAAAAGTGCATGTCGCATGATAAATTGAGATGAGTGCACAAAAGCACTCAACAGATACCATTTAGGTCTCCTTCAACACAACCAAGAAGCTTTTCCTTCCATCGCCTTAAGCTCTCATCATCCTGCAATAGCATAAACAAGTGCCAAAATTGAATTGGGAGCCCCCAAATATATAGCTATAAATCAAGAACAATCCATACATTTCGTTAGCGTCAAAGTGCACAAATAAACCTTCCAAAGCGCTAGAGTCAACTAAATCCATAAGGACAGGTCATGAAAATTTGATATAGCATTGTTGTAGGAAAGTTAAAAATGACTCCAGAACATGAAAACAGATTGAACTAAAAATCTTGATACTGCGAACCAAAGAAAATAGAAAAAACATAAACAAGTAGAAATACTACATGACTTTAATTTTCCAATTGATAGTAGAGAAGATCAACATTTCAAGTGTTAAATATAAAATCCGGAAACCAAGAAAGCAGCAATAGGAAAACATCCAGTAAATGAACTTTGCAGGACTAAAAGATGTAACAAACCCAGATCACAAGAACCAAGTCATTTATTAGACAAAGGATACATATAACTAAACCTATAAACAACATTAGGTTCAGAAACAATTATTTGATTAGCATATAGTATATATTTTTCCTAGTTTTCCTTCCACCAAACAGCACTGTAATGAGGTTGGAGAAAGAGATGAAGAATCATAATCTTTTGAGTAGTTTGAAAAAATCCATCAAGGAATTCAAGGTCAAGAAACAATTTAACTCAAAATTTCCAAACAAAAGTCAGAAAATGAAAGCAAGTTTAGAGATGAAAAGAAGCAAACTTTTTCTCTTTTTTTTTTTTTGGAAAAAGAAAGAAACACCTTGTCTTTCTCAATCTGTTCCTTGAGAGAAAGAAGAGGACCAGGAACAAAACCAGCCAAAGCTCCAGCACCATCTTCCTTATCATCATCTTCTTCATCTTCTTCACGATCATCACAAACTTCAACAGACAATGGTTTCTCACTCATCTCCCTTAGTTCTCTCTCTTGCTTCTCCTCACTCACACCTGTTGATGGCCCAGCTTCTGCTCTCTTCCCACTCTCCATCTCTCTCTTGCTACGGTGAACAAAGCACACAAAACTCAAAAGGGTACAAAAATAACAAAACCCTTTTCAAGAAACAAAAAAAGAAAGGGCAAAATTTCAAAGAAGCAGAATTAGAAATTCAAAAGGCACAGTGAGAAAGAAAGAAAAAAAGATTATGCCCTCTTTTGTAGTGAGGCAAAAAGTCAGACACGTCCCTATCTTGTAACTCACTTTTCATAAGTTTATTTCTTACAAAGAGTGAGTGTGTTTGTTTATTTGTCTATATGTTGTGTCCGAATTTTCCAGAGTCTTTGTCTGTCGGTGTAAACCTGGACACTGTTAACTGGTAAAATAGGTTGATTTTTATAGTATATAAAAGAATAAATAATATTATTATAATAATATTTATTTTTAGTATCCAAAAAATAAAATTATAAATATTAAGGCTTAAATTTCAAATATATTAATATAATATTTTAAAAATAATTATATTAATTAATTAATTTTAAATTTATTATAATAAATTTTAACAAAAAATTAAATTTCAAACTTGAAACATATCCGAGGCTTCTGTTTCTTTATAAGGTAGTATACTTTTTCTTAGTATTTTAAGAAATACAATTACATTTAATGTTATTATTAGTCTTGATTGGGTAATTTTTATTTAATGAATTACTATATTTGAAATGTATTAAATACTAACTGCCATAGTTATTGTGTCTTAATGGAATTTATTAGAACATTCATTAAGAAAAAAAAGTTTTGATGCTCAGGCGTTATTTCATTATCCATCAATTAAGCTTTTATAGGTAAACCCACCTGAATCTCAATTAGAAAAGAAATAACTTCAAAACTTTGGAAAGACGTATGCTTGGTATAATTCAAAAGTGGAAAGATGATAAGGAGTGGATGAAGAAATAAAAAGAAAATGAAATTTAAGTATATTTGGTAAAAAAGAAAAATGAGAGAAAATAAAATATAAAGGATTATTATTTTACATATTCATTATAAAAAATAAATCACTCTAAATTAAAAAAAAAGAGAAAATAGAAAATGTGTGAGTATGTATTACATATTTATAAAATTATTTATTATATTTAAATTTTATTTTTTCATCTTGATTTACAAAAGATTAAAATTATAAAATCATATAATTTTTTTTTATTTTTCAATTTTATCACGCAATGGATAAATTTTTTTTTCTTTCAAATTTCTTTTTATCTTTCCAACGAAACACACTAATGGAAAGATAAAATGTGTTTTCCATCTTTCCGCTTTTCTTTTCTTTCAATTTTCCATGTTTTCGTTTTTTTTCCTACTTCCTAAGTAAAGCCTTAATATATGAACATATTTTGAAATCAAATCTTAACAGCTGAAACATTTTTTTTATATTACGATTTTGACCCTTTTAAAAAAATATATTAATATTATAAATGATTTTTAAATTATAACGAAACATAATATTTAAATTATAAATTTTTTTTAATGTAATATGTGAATTATATATTTATTGATTAATATAATATTTTAAAAGTTATTTTTTATCACGTGTAATCAAAGATAAATATCATATTAATTAATAAATTTATAATTAATGTATTACATAAATATTTTAAAATTTAAATATTATATTAAATATTTTATTGTAATTTAACAACTATTCACGACATTAATCCTAAAAAAAAAAAAATCAAAAGGCATTGCAGTAATGATTAGTCTATACCCAGCCAAAGAAGTTTATTAGTCACTTAGCAAGTTATAAATCTTTATTCCACAAAATAAATAAAATAAAGAAACCATGTAGCAATTATTATAAGAACCAAGAATAATTTAAGTGGAGAATTTTAGATAAATTACTTTGTGAAATTATTTTATAATCATAGTAATTGACTTAATTATAATCTAAAAAAATGTGAGAATCTTATGAGCCCTTTATGAAATTTTTAACATTTCCAGCCACAAGTGCAAAAAAATAAATTTTCATTCTTTTTACTAGAACCAAAGCTACACTGGAAATGCAACTCAATCGAATTTGAAAGAAAAAAACATATTATTTTATTGGTATACGTGGAACAAGAGAAAAATGAAGAACATAGAACAATAGATAATTGTCACGTTGTGGAGAAAAGTTGTTATGATTTGACAGAGGGCCGTTATCTGAATGGCTCGACAGGCGCTGACTCTTCATGTATGGCAGCAGCCTCAAAACATTCGGCTGCTTCTTCTAGTGATGATGGAGTGTCTTCTGCTTTGTGAAGCAGACCAAGATTGTACCATGCCGACGGATTCATTCTATCAACTCGGAGAGCATTCATCAGCAAGCTTTTTACAACTGCATTGGATTGGCTGCCAAGTTGTCTGAGCACACCAGCTGCAGATATCAAGCTTGGGACATGATAGGGTTCCATATCCAAAGCATTTCGAAAAGCATTCAGAGCTTCTTTTAGTAGGCCTTTTCTCTCATAAAGCACTCCTGCAGAGTATATATATATTTAGTCTCAAGTCCTTCATTTACTGGTTTCCACCACAAAAATCCTTCATTTATTCTCCTGGTTTTTAATTTCTTATTTTTTGGATTTTTTTTTGTTTTTTATTAATAAAAAAAATTAGTTCTGATAAATCTAAGACACCGGCCATTAGAGGCATTTATTCAAGAAAATCACTATGAATATAAGAAATACTAAATAATGACAAAAACATAAATCAAGGGAAGAAAAAACTTACCAGTGGCATGATTTCTAACAGCAGAGTAAGAATTGATGGCCTTGGATTTTGAAAGACAAATCTCAGCATCTCGCCATTGTGACAAGCTTGTGTAGAGATAAGCTAGATCATGCCATACTTCTTGTTCAAAACTTCTAGCACGATCCTGCAAACGATTATTCAAAAAGATAAGCTGCTTTAAAAGTTGTTTCCTCAAAAATGTTCTCTCTCGAAAAATGACAGAAGAAAGAGCATTATACACTCCAACTGCAATCTCTTTTTTACTGTTCTAAGGACACAAAGAGCTTCTGTTAAAGTTTAAATGGAAGTAATAACTTTCAAAACTAGTATCCACAATTTCCCTCATTCATACTCTAAAAAGGCCACTTACAACCTACCATTCTAACAGTAATAAACCTCAAATTTGTATCATGCAAAGGTATCCAAGTGATGGCAAGTCACACGTCAAAAATAAAACATTAAGAAGGATGATTTCCAGCAATCATTTCTGAAAATCTACCTGTCTAATTCCAAAAACCAATGCATCACCTAAAGTCAACTTGGTAGGAGAACTCTTTCAGATTCTTCCACGAAGATAGATATCAATTAAAATTATAGGTAATGAATAGGAACACTAAACAACTAACTGACCTTATGAAGCCTCTTGCGAGAACCAAAGCTTTTACTCTGTACTTGAAGAACAGCAAGAAGCTGAGTATATGTTTCAACAGCACTCTTAAGCTGTCCCTGTGCAATTTGAAGCTTAGCTTTGGTGCGCAACAATTCTCCCTGATCCCATTTGCCAGTTTGATCCAAGGCAGCATTGAGAACGATTTCACCGTCCAAAAAACGTTTTTGTGCTGACAATATGCGAGCCAACAACAACCACCCCTTAATGTTGGAACCACCTTCTAGTTTTAGCAAAGACTTTGCATAATGAAGTGCAGCTTCCAACTTTCTCTGCTCAGCATTTTCTAGGCTGAGATAATAAAGAATATTAGGGTCTTTCATACCTGTAATTTTCCAAGCACTTTCCAAGGCCCGAAGGGCCTCAGACTGTCTGGAAACCCTCTCAAAATCGGATAGGGCTAACTTCGAATGTGCTGAACAAGCCACACCCAATAAAAGGTTACCAGTACCTTCCAACTCACAGCATTCATCTTCCAGGCTTTCAAGGGCTCTACGAGCAAAATTAATCCCTTCTTCCGCAAGATTAAGTTTTTCCCCGCAAATGCTTGATGCCATTAACAATGCTGGAACACAATGTGGATCCTCTCTACTATTCAACAATTTCCGCAATAGATTCAAAGCAACCAAATCTTCATCTGCTCCATGATAACAGAGAGCTAGAAAATGGTATCTTTCTTTGCGATTAATAACCCCAGGAAGCAGTTCTTCTATTTGCTTAGCCAAAGCCCTCAAATCCCCAGAAATGGAGAGAGCAAATGACAGATGATCCAAAATTGATGGATCCCATTCAATTCTTTTCAGAGAAACTTTTCTTAATAGTATCATTAACAGGAGTATAGCTTCCTCTATGTTATTTCTAGGGACAAATGAACTGTCCATTTGGGAGCGGAGGTTTGGGGGCCTTGCTTCACCTCCACAATACAGAAGAAAAATGGCAAACTGTTTTTGAATCTTTGCAGTAGTGTCTGCATCAAGATTCCACTGATGGAGAAGAGCGCGCCGATAGGACAGGATTGCTTCACATGGGGAATCACTAAATTTCCATAATTCTGGAAGCAGCTCAACTGCCTTATTTAGTGTCTCCTGCAATTTACAGTCAGCACCAAAGTTTTCAGGCGAGCCTTCTGGTAATGAAGATTCAACTATGTCCAGAATAACTTTGCAAGTTTGAGCAGCTTCTGCAAGCATAATTGGAATTATACAATTAGCCATGCAGTGATCATTTAATTATTCTGTGTAGCTATTCTTTCTTCTTTTCAGAGAAGAAAGAGTATCATAAAGATGAGAAACATGAAGGGCATCTGATAACAATAAGCTCCACGAAAACATACTTGACAAACCACATTCCAAATAGCAAAGAGGTTTGTACATAGAAACAAAAGAAAAAAGCATAGAAGCTAGAATATCATAGCAGTGTTTTAGATTAAAAATTGCTGAATTCTTGGAACTTAGATAGATGCCAATCATGGTAACAGAAAGAAGGTTATTAAAGCAAATTTGAACTGGAGAATTTTAAGCACACGAGGCATTTAGTGACAATAACTACATATATACTATTAATTATAATACTAATACTTATCAATTACTCAAAAATATCGATTATTGTAATGCTAATATTTACCAATTATGCAAGGGAAGCGTACTAATATTATTACGATAGCAAAGGGAAGGGATATGAAAAAATGCAACATATCCGATTGGAAACTAGATTCTTGACAGCTTGATTTGTGAAATCCCATCCATATTAGTGACATAACTAAAGCAATTTTTAGACAAGTTCACGACAATCGTAGTCATCATCAGAAGAAATAAATTAGAATATATAATAAAATGAATAATTTATTGTAAGTCAGGATAGCACTTAATTATAAATTACTTTATCCATATGATTACAGCGTGGATGTGAGATCTGTGTAATAACACATAAAACATTACCTCTAAACCTCTGGAGATGCTGCAATGATTTCGCTTTGAGAAAGATTGCTTCTAGTAGCAAACTAACAGCATGGATAGACATTGGTGGAGAAGTGTAGTCATGAGATCGTCTCTTTCGCTGTTCTACTCTCCTAGACAGGGTGAGTTTCATTTTGGGAGTTATTGCAGAGATATCTATTCCTTCAAACACATGTAGCGCAGCTTCTATATTTCCTTTCTGATATTCAATTCTTCCTAGCAATGCTCTAGCTTCCTGCAAATTGCAGACACCTTAGCCGAAAAGAAAGCAAATAAAAGTGCTTATAGAGTTACCTCAACTAATTTCCATACACTGAATTAGTTACAATAGGTGGCAAAAAAGAGAGGCAAAGGCAGGAATGAGTGCACTAATAGTAGACAGCGCAAATAACTGCAAACTTCAGATAAATATACTATGATCACTTTCTCGCATGCAGTGTTGACAAGGTTAAGGATAAGTAAGCAGCCACAGGTGGAAGGTACCATGAAAAGTAACAAATAGCCTAGTTATGCAAGAAGCAACATTATGGCATGGACACAAAAGTTTATGATCTAAAAGAAGAAATGACTTTAATCAAAGCAATGTTAAGTGTTAATCATTTATTAATCAAAAAGATCTATAAAAATGGACAATTTCCGGCTTTAATAAGAGCAATGTGACCAGGTAGAATCTGCATAATTTTTGGAGTTTATATTGGCAAAGAGAAAAATATATGGAATTAAAATTAAACTAATAACTTCAAGCCTAAACTATAGCAAAGTCAGCAAGAGGTATCACCACATTGGCATATTTTTGCTGAACTAGGTTGAATAAAAATCTCAAGCTTTGAGCAAGTAGAATAACCAGATGGCACGAAAATGTCTTTACAAAGTTTTGTTTAAAATGACAAAAACTTTAATTACTAGAACAATATAAAAATTCATACAAATGAATGAGAAGATCCAGAAAACTCCTAAAAAGAGGCTTGAATAGACATCAAACACACCAAAAGCCAGATTTGAGAAGTCATGAGTTATAATTTTTATAGAAATTTAGGAAAATCAATGTGCCAACACCAATTTCACTACAATAACACAGACCCCAAGGACTTATTACGGCAATGCTGAACATGATCACTCCAGAAAATTAACCTGAAAGTTGAAAATAAAGAAAAAGCACACCTCATAATTCAGCGAACTACTTTCACGCAGAGATAATTCAGCTTCTTCTATATTCCTGGTATCTGGTTTTTTCTCACCATCACTAACTTTAGAAGAATAACCACTCAGTGAATAATCTTTGGCAGCAAGGGATTCTGATGAAGGTATCATTTTGTCTACTTTTGTTAATTGGTTTCCAGTGCATAAACACTTCACAATCTGTTCCAAATCCCTCTTAAGTCCACCTCTTCTTGGCTTTTTAATCCTTATTTTACTCTTCATACTGTTTCACCACTCTCAAAAATCTTCAAGCACAAGGAAAAAAAAAAAACAAAAACAACAAAAACATTATCAGAACTTTAATAATAGATCCAAAGGATACATAACTCATAACTAGTATACATACAATATGATGATCAATGCAATCATGCTAATCCATAAACAGGAAAGTTCAAGCTTTTACCACATAAAACAGATTACAACAATCAAAACTTGATATTTCAACACATCTAGAAACCAAGAGTGAAATCAAAATCCAACAGTAAGTCATAGAACACAATAATTTAAGAGACCCGAATTTTTTTTCTTTTTGCACTATAAATTAAGCTTAAAACCCAATATCCAGAATTCAGAAACAAAAAATTATTAATCAAGACCAAAAACCCACCAATATTTCACCAACCCCACTTCAAAAATTCTCACCAAACATCTAATCAAACTCCTAGATTATAAATTAAAAAACGAAAGACACTAAATTTACCAAAAAAAAACTGTCCCAATTCAATCCCAATTCAATCCAAAAACTTACAAAGATAGACAGTACAGTCAAGTCGAAATCAAATTTATAGAGAAAAAAAGAACTCACCTTTTGTTTTTCCAAAGAGAAAAAAAGCAAATAGACCACAAGACATCAACAGCAAGGCCACCCATCTGTTTTTCAAGATGGCCCCTTTGAATCCAAACAAAGCACTTCTTTAAGAAAAGATTGTAACTTTGAAAAATAAAATCAATCAATCGAGTAAGCATCCAAAGCCAAAGCCTTGAAGAACCTTTTATTTTCTTTCCGTTTTTTCCTTTTTCTTTCTATTCTTTTGAAATTTCTTTTACCCTTTTGGCCCCTCCTTTAATTTTTTTTTTTGGGTTGAAAGAGAAAAAAAAAAAAAAACAAAAGCGAGGGATCGAATATGAATTAGATCGTGAGCGAGAAGATTAGGAGATTAAACTTTAAAGGGAAAAAAAATAAAACATTGATTAAAAATAAAAAATGGAATTAAATAAGGTAGGTTAATATTCTCAGAAATTGAGATTCTGGGGTCCACCAAAAAAAAGGTCTTTTAACAACGGTGGTCTTGGCTAAAGGCCAAACCCGCGCCACGTGAGATGCTTTTCATGTGTTTTAGTGCTGGATTTTGACGGTTATTAACAAGATTGATTGACAATTTGACTTAACCCTTTTCTTTTGGCTTTTTCTTTTTTCTATATTTATATACTAATATCACTATACAAAAAATTTACTTTTTTGGGTTAAAAAAATAACAGCCTGGTTTAGTAATTAGTGTTGAAAAAAGTGTTTTTTTTTTTGTTATTGGGTTTGGTTTTCAACACAATTATTATTTGCAAAAAAGTTTATGAAATCTTATAGTTTTCTAAATTTCAATGAGAAAATAATTCAGCATTTTTATAATTAATCATGTGTTTATTTGTTGTTTTTATTGGTAGATTTCGATCAAGAATCAAATCGGGTGCTTATGTTCAATTGGAGCATAATTTCCCCCTTCTGTTTTTACTATAGTTAGAATATTTTATATTCAATATGTACTTGTATTTATTTGTACATGTTTTTTATTCTCATAAATAAATTAGACATTTATATGTGAAGTAACTCAAAATCATGAAATTCATATTATAAAAATAAATTTATAAATTTTCCAAAAATAATATGGATCCTACCATTTTATTTCAGATTTGGATTGTTTCTTTCTTTTAATTATCACTTATAGTAACATTTTTGTACCATACTATGCATAATTAAGTGTAATAAATGTCATTACAAATTAGATTGAAGTTTTGGTAATGTTTTCAGATCACTGTTTTTTTTTTTTGGTGCTAAATCACTCTTTAAGATTATTATATTAGATAAATGTACTCCTAATAATATTAATAATAGCCCTCTCTTTTTACCTATAAAGCAAACGCTTTCAATGGCTTGGTTAAATAGCCAATGAAGAAATCTCGGCGGTAATTTCATTAATTTTTTTAATTTTTTTAAAAAATCGATTTGATAATTTAAAATACAATACAGTAACATATATGATACAAAATAAAATATAAAATAATATAATTTAAATTTTTAATGATAATTATAAATAAGTTTAACAAAAATAAAAAAATTTTATTTTTTATATCGATATAAATTATAATAATAATTTTTATATAAAATTAGATATAAATATATAAATATTAATATTTTATCTTAAACAAATACAACAATTATCAAATTTATTAAAAAATAATATTTAATAAACTTAATGTTTATGTTTCAGCATTTACGATATCAATTTATAAAAAAATAGTCAATGAATAAAGGCAACCGCTTAATTATGACAACCATATTCTGCAATAATTTGGTTCAATTATTTGTGACAAATGGTTTGATTTAAGTTAAGGCTGAGAAGGATTTATTAAAGCTTGCCTAACATCTGCCATGAGTTGGCCCCTTGAGAAGACTGCTATTGGTGACTTAATTAAAACGTTTTAACAGCTGTGGGCTTAAGGGTTTATTTTTGTGGTGAAAATGACGTTGAATTGAAGGTAAAAGTATTTGAGGGGAAAAAAATAGTACTACTCCAATAAAGAGAGTTGGAGCATTGATTATTTTGGTTGGGCATGCGTTTTTAATGTATGAGCTAGTAGATGGATGTCTGACCTGAAACGATTTATACGAAGTTTTTTAACGAATTTTGTGAAATTGTTTTATTAAAGATGATGTAATAAAAATTAAAATAGATGAATTGATATAATTTAATAAAAAATTAATAATATGTAAAATTGTATTTAAAAAATTATTTATAATTTATAAATATTTATTGAATGATAAAAATTTTATTAAAAATATTTATTTAAAAAAGTACATCAAATTTTATTAATTTTTTTTAATTTACATAATAAAACCTTTTAATCTAATTTTAATTTTTTTTTATTAAATTATTTTTAATAAAAAAGAAATCACGAACTTTAATTAATAAACTTCTTTTAAATCTTTCCCAACCTAACCTATCCTAAATCCCAATATGTACTATTTTGTTCAATTTTGACATTGATTTAGGTAATTTTTTCAAATTTTAATTTTAATTTTTTCTTGGAATATATATAAATTCATCATCTCCATGTTAATATTCGATTTATGGAAATTATGATATGATATGATTATTGGCTTCAATTAGTTTGATGAATGAATGTCTTTCTTTTCACTAAAAGTCAAAGTGTTGAAAAAATTGGATGTTCCTTAGTTCTCATCTCATTGTTCAAGGTTCTCTTCCTCAAAATTGGCTGTATGACCCCGAGAGTCTAGAGTCCTGACATCAGGAATCATCTCTTTTTCCTCGTGCCAAAATCATCATGATGACCAGAAAAAGAGCAGCTTTAGTTAGAAAGTTGAGTACTTGGTCGTAGATGTTCCTTCAATGATGCATCATGTATGCACACACACACACACACACAGAGAGATAATTACCGATATACAATCCCACCCCGAACAATTCAGTTGAATCATCCAGGCAAACTAACCGAATGGATCGATCTAGTCGATCCAATGGCAGGCACAAACTTGAACAGCAAACAGTGATCAGTATGAGTAAACAAAATCAGTAATTGCTTTACCATTATTTTTTAAATCATTTGACATTTAAAGATTATGAATTTTAAAATATATATGTGCGTAACTTCTTTTTAAATAAATAATAAGAGAAAGAGTTTAAGAATAGATTAAAAATTAAAATATATATATATATATCAGTAATTCCTCTAACCAGAAACAAAACATTAAAACTCTATCCAAAAGCTGATTCTTGGAGATGTAAGCTGGAAGGGCTTCCAACAGAGGAAGTTACAATGGCCAAAACAGGGTTAGGTAGAAGGCAAATGTGGTCTGAATCTGATAGTTTGGTAAGTCATGTGTCCTGCCTCGAACATAGGATGGAGAAGAGTTGATAAGCCGTTGCCGTTCATACCTGCCTGGCCCTTTCGCATTAAAGCATGCAGAATGCATGTTAAAATAATACCATATCTCAAACCTTTAATTTTACTTGTTACAGCACACATCTTTCAAGGGCGCACTATTTTGACCTTCTATAAGTTTCTTTCTCGTTTCCCTTTCCTTTAAAAAAACGATTTAGAAGATTTTCATTTGTCATTTTAATTAATATTTTTTTATAAAAAAACAAAAGTTGCAGTATCAAGTATATTAAAAATGTTGTGCTCTTGACGAAAGGGAAAAAAAAATGGTAATATACTAATATTCCCCATGTGATCTGCCTGCCTAGCCTTCACGATCTAACTTGTAAGGCTTCAAAAGCATCGAAGGCTTGCCGTTTAAGCTGTAACCCCTGTTCTGACTTCTCAGCAAAAGCTAATTAAACACAGGACTTGACTATTGCTTAATGAAAAATTTATTTTAACCTCATAAAAAGATAGTATTTTAATAAAAATAAAAACTGTAAATATGGCTTTTTAAAAAAAAAAGATCAGGAGACCTGCTTTAATTATAAGATATGAAAGTTGAATGCAATTAACAGTTTGATTTAATTGATAAAATTGTTCTGTGTCAAATATAATAAATTATGAGTTAATTCGAATTGTAGTAAAAAAAAAAAATATTCATAGGTCTAAAAGCAATTTTTGAAAAATCTATGATAATTCAAGACCAAATACATCTCATAATTTTTTTTAGTACAAAAGAGATTGTAGATCAAGGATAAAAAAAATATTACTAAGTATAAAAAATATTATAAATATTAAATTTTGAATTTTATAATTATTAAATAAATATTTTAAAAATAATTATATAAATAAATTAAATTAAATTTTATATTCATTTCGTAATTTTTTCGTGTGCATTAGTTAATTGATATTTGTTGGCTTATCTTGAGATACTTCAAAATCAAATCCTTTTATCCAGGACAAATATTACGATTTGATACTATTGATTTGATCATACCAAGGCATGCAACCAAAAATTCAAGCTGTGTTATAAAATCTGCCTAAAATCTTGGAATTTATTAAATTTATTAATTCGTTTGACTCTGAAAAGTACAGGAGATAGTATAAATAGATATTTACTAAATATAAATAAATTTAATAAATGTTAGCGTCTCCAATAACGTCTGGACAACCTGTATGAAGTATGAACCACCTACCCTTGGCTTCTTTTGCTGGCAACTCGTATTAAACAGGAAAAAAAATGTAACTTTTTCGTTAAAAACAGATATAAATATTATCTACATAGCAGATGAATATAAATTATAATTTGAATCTCTTAAAAATTTCTTATTAAAGAATGCATATAAATAACCTTGAGCTGGTAATGAAAAATAATCCACTTCTACTTCATAAAGGATAAAATTTCATCTCATTTATTTCAAAATTTGAATCCAAAAACTTTATGTTAATTTAAAATTTTAACCATTAAAATGTCCAATTGAAATAATTATTAATTGTATTAATATAATTTTTTGTCTGAAAATCACTTTAAATTTCGATTAATTCAAAATCAAATTAAATCGAATCTCATAAAAAAATAAGCTCTTTCAAATTTATTTTTTAATTCATAAAACTTGAATTAAAATTTTTTTAAAAAAATTTAAGCTTTTTATCACTCAAACGAATAAAAATTGGTTGATCAATGTATCTTGAAATATATAAAAGGTAATCTGAACAAATTGAAAAAAAATGATATATTTTTTCAGTTTTGGTACAAATTGTTTAAATATCTACTAAATTGAATCACAAAGGTAAACTAACAAATAATCCGGCCCGCAAGTTTGACCTACCCAGCTCAAGCTTTGAATAAGGATTTTAATTTTGAAGCTTAATTTAATTCGATTTAAGATATTATTTAATAA